TATTTTTGTGTCTGTCAGAAGTATTTAAAGTTTCTCTGATGCAGGTATTGCATATTTCCTGTTGAAGTTTACTCCTGGGTGTTTATCGTTTCAGTGGCTAGTACATGAGTGCTTCTGTTCCATCTTGTATTCTAACCGGTAGCTGTTTGTGGCTTCGCCTTTGTTCCACTTCAACAGTCTACTTACTTGGCAATACATTCATATTCTGAACCGACCTTGCCTGCTCCACGTAAGCACTCTCCAACTCAGTGTACCACTCTCCTGCCTTACTCACATTCCACCTCTTTCTGACCTCATCTAGATCTCCATCTCTTTGACTCTTCCTTGGCCTTCTAGTTTTAAGGCCTCTTCAGGCATCATTCCACTTCCAGTCACTTCCTAGACTGTGTCAAATCACTTGAATAAACTCTCACACAGTTTCACAGTTCCCCCCAATTAGTCCCACCAATCTAACACCCTCAACCCCTGTCCTATAAACGCTTTCCAGTGCTAAGCATAACAGGAGCAAGGGCATACTCAGGCAAATCAGAAACCATGACTGTAAGGGGCAGTCTCACTGGAGCCTCTGTCGCTGCTCAGTGCCACCTCCGCTCGTCTTTGGTTAGCTTCCGCTGACTCTTGGAAACTTCAACAAATGCACCATGAGTCCCCTGCCTGCCTTGCCAATTCCCTTACACTCAACAGAGGACACTGCTTCCCAATTGGCCAAGAAAACAGAAATCGTCAGGTGCGAACTCCCCCAAATCTTCCATTGATGAATTTACTGACATATATAGTCACCCTAATGTCCTTTCCTCTAATCCCACCCCCATCTCTTCTAGAACCTGCTCCATCTCTTGTAGCTTTTTTTTTTTTTTTTTTTTGAGACAGAGTCTTGCTCTGTCACCCAGGCTAGAGTGCAGTGATGTGATCTTGGCTCACTGCAACCTCCACCTCCCTGGTTCAAGCGATTCTCGTGCCTCAGCCTCCCAAGTAGTTGGAATTACAGGCATGAGCCGCCATGCCCAGCTAATTTTTGTATTTTTAGTACAGATGGGGTTTCACCATGTTGGCCAGGCTGGTCTCGAACTCCTGACCTCAAGTGATCTGTCCACCCTGACCTCCTGAAGTGCTAGGATTACAGGTGTGAGCCACCTTGCCCGGCCAAATCTATTTTTTACTTGTTCTCTCTACTGGTTTCTTCCCTTCAGCATTATAAACAAGTAAAATCGTTCCTGCTCAGAACAATTCTTCTTTTTTTCAGACAATGTCTCATTCTACTGCCCAGGCTAGAGTGCAGTGGTACCATTGTAACGCACTGCAGCCTTGATCTCCTGGGCTCAAGTGATCCTCCCATCTCAGTCTCCTAAGTAGCTGAGACTACAGGCTCACACCTCCATACCCAGCTAACTTTTAAATTTTCTGTTGACATAGTGTCTCACTATTTTGCCCAGAATGGTCTTGAACTTTTGGGCTCAAGGGACCCTTCCAAGTCTCCCAAAGTGTAGGCATGAGCCACTGAGCCTGGCCTAGAACAATCCTGTTTTGACACTGCCTTTTATTCTGGCTGCTAATATCCTCTTCATTTCCCCTTCCCACTCCTCACTCTAGCTAGCTGCTGCTTCTTTTTTTATTTTTTTTTTCCTTTTGAGACAAAGTCTTACTCTGTCACCCAGGCTGGAGTGCAGTGGCACAATCTTGGCTCACTGCAACCTCCGCCTCTCAGGTTCAAGTGATTCTCCAGCCTCAGCCTCCCAAGTAGCTATGATTATAGGCAGCCACCTCCATGCCCGGCTGAGTTTTGCATTTTAGGTAGAGCTGGGGTTTCACCATGTTGGTGAACCCCAGGAGGCTGGTGTCAAACTCCTGACCTAAAGTGATCCACCTGCTTTCATCTCCCAAAGTGCTGGGACACAGGCATGAGGTGTGAGCCATGAGCCACTGTGCCCAGCCCTCACTCTGGTTGCTTATAAAAATATTACATAACACCTGTAATCCCAGCACTTTGGGAGCCTGAGCCAGGCGGATCACAAGGTCAGGAGTATGAGACCAGCCTGACCAACACGATGAAACCCGTCTCTACTAAAAATACAAAAATTAGTCTGGTATGGTGGTATATGCCTGTAATGCCAGCTTCTTGGGAGGCTGAGACAGGAGAATCACTTGAACCCAGGAGGCAGAGGTTGTAGTGAGCCAAGATCGCACCATTACAAACAAAACTGGGTAACAGAGTGAGACTCCATCTCGAAAAAAAAAAAAAAAGAATATTACATGCTTGCTAGCTCTACTTTTTTCTTTTTAACCTCCCTCTGCTGTTCTCATCCCCCTGTCACTTCCTTTATTAATATAATTACCAATCTTCTTGCTGCTAAATCTCCTGGGTATTTTCCAGGTCTCAGCTTAGCTTAGAAAAGATTTTAGATAAATAAGGACCAGCAAATGTCAATAACAATGAGACACTGAGTACCCTAGCGGGTGTGCAGAATTAGGTAGCATAAGTTCTATCATTCTCTTAGCCTGCTGACAAACAGAAACGTCTTACTACGCCCTCTCAGGAGAAGCACTGATTATGCCTCACAGGATAATGAAGAAATGCAAGCAGTCTCCTTAGAGAAGACGGTTCGGCTGCCTGTCCTTGAGAACAGATGTGAAAAAAATCATTTGCTCAAGCTTATCTGTGAATCTGTGAACCAAGAGCCTTGGACATCCACATATAGATGCACAACGAAATTTGGAAGTTTTCTTTTCTTTTTTTTTTTTGGAGACAGAGTCTTGCTCTGTTGCCCAGGCTGGAGTACAATGGTGCAATCTTGGCTCACTGCAACCTCTGCCTCCCAGATTCAAGCGATTCTCCTGCTTCCATCTCCTGAGTAGTTGGAATTCCAGGAATGTGCCACTACGCCCATTTTTATATTTTTAGTAGAGATGGGGTTTCACCGTGTTGGCCAGCTAGTCTCGAACTCCTGACCTCAAGTGATCTGCCCAACTCGGCCTCCCAAAGTGCTGGGATTACAGGCATGAGCCACTGTGTCTGGCCAAAATATGGAAGTTTTCCTAAGTTAGCAATTATTTTTTCAAGTTGGTAATCTGTGGAGAGGACACAAAAGGAGACAGCATGGGTCCTACAGACGGAAGCATATGTGCCTGGGAAAAGGAATAGCTCTGCTCCCTGCTGTAGTTCCCTGCCCTGGAAATTTACCTGAAAAGGCAGTTTTCCAATTTGTTCCTTTAGTTTCCTATTCCCCAGGTTTGGAATGTTGTAGAAATAAGTTCCAGTGTTGTCAGAGCTTCTTGATAAAATGTCTTAATTACTAGCCTCTATTCATGAAATGTGAACACTGGTTAGGTCAAAATTCTGGTTCAGAGAGGCTGAGAGATCTGAGGCTGAAACAAGAACAAGGTTTTCTACCTAGGATCACCTAGAGCCTTAAAAGCAAGAAGGATAGCCAAGTCAAAGTAAACTGGAAAAGGCTGAAGAGTTCGAATGACAGAAAACAAGTTTAAATGATGATGCCAGGTACCAGAGCAGAGTCAGAGTGGGATTCACAGAGATGGGGTAGGTTCACCTGGTGTCACGAACCAGAGTAGAAACTGTCTCACTCAGCATCCGGCATACAGTCAGCAGTCTGCTCCGTGTTAAAACAGCCAGGCAGAACATTGTAGGTGGTATGCCAGCAATAGGAAGCTAAGGTGGTTGGGATTTTTTTTTTTCCAAGAAATTCCACATTTAAGGGAATACTTCAAACAAAAGAGTATAAAGCCAACAGATCCGGGTTTTGAAATATTTAAGTAAAATGACAGCATAACACTAATAAACAAAAATACAATCTAAATCTAAATTCTTTTTTTATTTTTGAGATGGAGTCAAGCTCTGTTACACAGCCTGGAGTGCAGTGGCATGATTTTGGCTCAATGCGACCTCTGCTCCCAGGTGTAAGCAATTCTGCCTCAGCCTCCTGAGAAGCTGGGCCTACAGGTCAATGCCACCATGGCTGGCTAATTTTTTGTATTTTTAGTAGAGACGTGGTTTCACCATGTTGGCCAGGCTGGTCTCGAACTCCTGACCTTAAGTGATCATCCGCCTCGGCCTCCCAAAATGCTGGGATTACAGGTGTGAACCGCCGTGCCCAGCCATCACCTAAATGCTGACAGAATGTGGGTGAAATACTGGGACTAGAAATGGAGAAATGGGAAAATGATATAGAAGGGCTAGTTAAAAGCACTTTATTGCAGAGTGGAACAGCCAGTCCATTGGGGTACATATCTTTAGGAAAATAAGGAAGAAGAAAATGCATAAACGGGGCAGGTGGAGACAGACAGAGAGGCTGGACGAGACAAGAATCGTGTGCATCACAAGCCAGGGTGGAAGAACGTTTTCAGAAGGAAAAGTCAACACAATCCTAACTGGCTTTGTAGCCACTGGATTCGACTGGAAGGAAATTAGTGGTAATCTCCAAGAAAACAACGTTAGTAGCATAGGTAGGAATTGGGGTTATATCACACAGGACAGCAACAAAATTAGAAATTAGGCTGTCAGTTGCAGACAAGTTTAAAGAGCTTGATGATAAAAGGAAAAAGAAAAGATGAAAAATAGATTTAAATGGCAGAAAATTTTTGATATGGAAAAGAAAGATTTTTTAAAAATTTCTTCTAGGATCATCTCTCATGGAAAAGAAAGATTTAAAGAATGCTGAGAGGGGATGTGTAAATCAAAAATACAAAGAAAATGCTATGTGGATATTTGCAAAATTAAGGTATTTATGGGTGTTTAAATGGATACCTTCAAAATAACCTCGTTTTGTGTGCATTTTTTAAAACAATAAGTATATGTTATCTGTTCAATGAGAAAAAATTAAGACAGCCATTTCAACTTTGGAAAAATATCAAATACAAACTGATTTTTTTCAAAAGCCTGAGTATTCCTTAAATCCCACAGGGAGATTTCTGGAGCACTGCACTGAGTGGTTCAGAAGTGGCTGCTTTCCCTCGCTAAGCAGCAGTGCCCAAGAGCGTGCACTTACCTGGACAGGTGTCTAGCAGGCTGTCTCCTTCTATCACCCACTCTTCCTCTAGCTCCAACTGTGTGATTACCTCTGGCTTATAAAGCTGATGCCCTATTCACGGGAGAAACATACATCTTAGGAGTTTATACTGGGAACAAAATTCTCGTTCAGACACATTCCCAACCCTTTTAGTCTTTAGAGCCTCTGGAGGGGAGACTTCAGAGGCAGCAAAATAAAGCTAACCATCTCAAACTCAATTAAGACGCTCCACTGGAGGAGAAACAGCAGAAAACAAAGGTCTCTGACTTCAACACTGATTAGCATTCTTCTGCCCTGGCCCAAACTGTATTCACAAAAGCTTTGGAGGCTTCCTCTACTTAAGGAAATAAAGCCATGTGAATGGTTTCCAGCTTCACAGGGTGCCATCCTCACCCAGTGCGACCAGATTTCTGTAGTTCTCCAGCATCACATCTCGGTAGAGGTCCTTCTGGGCAGGGTACAGCTGGTCCCATTCCTCTCTGGTGAAGTCCACAGCCACATCCTGAAACGTCAGTGATTCCTGAAACATCAAGCACATCCCTGCTCAGGCAAAAACTGTTCTTACAGGGACCCTCAGGGGAGGGGGTAAAAGTGCAGCACCAGGATATCTACGCCATCGTGCTGACAGTCTTTAGGACTCTTGAGTCATTCGGGTCAAACTTTTCTTTTAAAAAAATCAGTTCCTTTCTATCATCTCTCAAGGCAAAAACATAAATGAAATAATTTCTGTGTTTAAATTTTTACAGTTTGCTGCAGGGGGAAAATGACTCTCATTTCATCCAAATGATTAAAAAACAAGTATACCTCAGAGATACTGTGCGTTGAATTTCAGACAACACAATACACAATAATATTGCAATAAAGTGAGTCACATGAATTTGTTGGTTTCCCTATGCCTATAAAAGTTAAATTTACTCTGTATTGTAGTCTATTAAGTGTGTAATGGCGATGTCTAAAGAAATGATGTGTTTACCTTAATTTAAAATACTCTATGGCTAAAAAATGGTAATGATCATCTGAGTCTTTAGCGAGTTATAATCTTTTCACTGGTGGAGGGTCTTGCCTTGATGCTGATGGCTGCTGACTGATCCGGGTTGTGGTTGCTGAAGGATGGGGTAGCTGTGGCAACTT